TTCCCCATTTCCATTCTCAATTTTATGTATAGATAGATACTATTTTTTTTTAAATTATTTTCATTACTGAATGAATAGATGCACTGCAGATAAATGCATTGATAATACCTGCATCATTGTGTACTCTGCTGGCACCAATAATTGATGTGGGATGTTAAGTATAATGACCTGAACAAGAGAGTACCTGTTGTGTATCTGATCATTACTCATTATCTTACTAATCTCATGTCTGTTGTACACAAACATGTTTTGGAAGGTGAATAATTTTGGGATTGGAGAGTATATGAGACATCTTCATCTTCTCTCTTTCTTCATACTTCATGGTTTTAGGTTTATTAACACTAGACTTTATGAACTATTGCAGAAATGTTACACTAGGGTAGTGAAGAACAAGATTTTGACCTTCAGTCCCCAGTGTACACCCATGACAATCTTTTGAAGATTATATACTATATAAGACAGGAAAAGTTTTTTTAACTAATTATAAGTTGCTTATTATCTTATTTGAACATCAAAACAAATTTTTATATGATTATAACTATTGCTGCAGTTATCTTAAGATAAAATGTGTGTACATTAAAGAGAATGAGAATACATAAATAGTGTAACAGTCTCATGTTTTAACTAGTCTTGGCTAACTGTGATCTGGAGAAATGCATTGGGAAATAAACGCTTAAGTTTATTACAATTGAATTTCAATCATTATTTCCTATTCTTCGAGTTGAAGAGCAATGCTACTGTTGTCATATCACAAAATAGAAGTTCCTTCATAATATAAGTTCCAAGTGGAAGAAATATTCTGTAATATTAGTTCCACTGGAACAATTATTACAGTATTTGTTCCACTGGAACATTTATTACAGTATTTGTTCCACTGGAACATTTATTACAGTATTTGTTCCACTGGAACATTTATTACAGTATTTGTTCCACTGGAACATTTATTACAGTATTTGTTCCACTGGAACATTTATTACAGTAGTTGTTCCTAACAGAATTAAAGGTATAGAATATTTGTTCCAACAGGAACAGATATTATGGCATTGTTTATAACAAAGTTTCCAGGGGAACTTCTGATAGGTGGAACAAATATATGTTGACCGTCTGTCTTTATGATTCTTTTTATTTTTGGTTCAGAGTGAATGTACCCATGGATATTACGTCCTTCTGTTGTATGTGGTTTAGCTCATTTGTATTTGATATTTTATATCAAGGAATGTATAGGGAAATTGTGATGACCCTGAAATTAATACCTTTCATTGTGTCTGTTAATGTTACATGTTAATTATGTGGTGTATTGAGGATTTCCTTTCACTGACCTTGAGGTCAAGGTATTTGTACCAAGTTATTTACATGTAATAATAGGAGGTTACAATGCGGCATGTAAAATGATCTAGTGGGCATCAATGTTAGAAAGATGTGAATTGCTGAAGTTAATAATACTTGTCAAGTGGAAGCATATGGGTTGTTATATTGAAGTTCAGAAAAAATAGAGGCTGGGTGGAATATGTTTTATGGTATTGATATAATTCCAATCATTTAAGTTTTTTTAATTGCTATTTTTTTTAAATATGAGTATCCATTTCACTATCTAAAACCAAGTATTATTGCTTGCTTTAGAAAAGTAGAAAAAGGTTTAAACTTCTTTCTATAAGTATATAAAGGTGCTCTGGTAATCTGGATGTTACTATTCCCTACCAAAGACCTTTGAAGTTGTAATATTGGACCACAACTTTCTGTCTTTAATTGTTTTGTGTTTTCTTCAGTTTTAGTGTTTTTTATCCTTTAGATTTTATGGCTTTGTTTAGTTCTTAATTTGTGTATACTATAAACAAATAGTGTATGTTCATATTTACTTTAACAACAAACAATAGGGTTCCATTTAGCAAGATACACAAAAGTGATATGACTAGAGAGGGGATTTTTGTGATGATTTTGATCTTCTGAACAGATGTTTACAAATAGAATTATCTATTTACATAAGAGTTCCAGATATTTATAGCCCTGGCTAATTATCTTCTGCTGTGCAGGAAGTCCATTAAAATAAGCATCTGTTTTACTTTATTGCCTACTGTAAGATGTAAGTCTGATAACCAGGTTTATTGCTGGTAACAACTAATACACTTTTGTTATTTTTTTTACTGACTTGGCTCATTTTTTCTCCAATTTTTCTAAATAAAAAAAAGAAAAAATTGTTACCTCTAGCACTTATCCTTGTTAAAATTGTAAAGAAATCCATTATACAATAAACAGTTTAAATTCAAAGAAGTTGTACAAATAGTTTGGCATCTCTAGTGATAAGGTAAAATGTCATCATCTTCAACATTCATTGTTAGGTTGACTAATAAGTGTAGGTTAACTTAACAGTGTCTGTTTATGTTTTAACCATGGGAATATTCAGAACTTTTAAAAGTTCACTGTAAATACCCAATATTTTGTTTAAATGATATAAATAATGGCAAGGTTTCTGACTTTGGGGCCTTTTATAGCTTACTATGCGGTATGGGTTTTATTCATTGTTGAATATAAAAATAAGAAGATGTGGTATAATTGCCAATGAGACAACTCTCCACCAGAAACCAAATGACATAGAAGTTAACAGCTATAGGTCACTGTATGGTCTTCAACAATGAGCAAAACCCATACCGCATAGTCAGATATAAAAGGCCCTGAAATGACAAATGTAAAACAATTTAAAGTAGAAAACTATCAGCCTGATTTATGGACAAAATAATGAAAGAAAAACAAATATGATATACAGCAACAAACGACAACCACTGAATTACAAGCTCCTGACTTGGGACAGGAACATACAGAATTTGGCGGGGTTAAACTAGTTTGGAGGCACCAACCCTCTCCCTAACCTGAGGCAGTGGTGTAAAGGCACAACACAATGATAAATTTTACAAAACAATAAAAAAAAAACAAGTATGAAAAACAGCAAAAAACGACAACAACTCAATTAAAGGCTCCTGACTTGGGACAGGCACATATAGAATCTGGCGGTGTTAAACCAGTTCGAAGACGCCAACCCTCCCCTAACCTGGGACAGTGGTGTAACAGTACAACATAAGAACAAACTATAAGAATCAGTTAAAAAGGGTTTAACTCATCAAATCAATACAAAGCAGAAATACATCTAACAAAAACCCAGACCGGACGTGGCAGGGTACTTATACATACCCACAACGAAAAAGACACGTTACTTTTATTATTCTTCCCTTAGTTTATTTATTTTGTATTTACATTGTGTCATAGGTCAAATTTATTTGTTCAGTGTATGTTCAATGGTGTTAATATGTCCTTTGATTGAGTTAAGCTATTTCAGTTGATATTTTATAATGTGTCTTTCTATGTTGTGATGTTACACTATTGTTTCAGAAAAAGGGTGAAGGTTTGGTACCATTAAAACGTTTAAACCCGCTGCATTTGTTTGCACCTGTCCTAAGTCAGGAATCTGATGTTCAGTAGTTGTCGTTTGTTGATGTGGTTCATAAGTGTTTCTTGTTTCTCGTTTTTTATATAGATTAGACCGTTGGTTTTCCCGTTTGAATGGTTTTACACTAGTAATTTTTTGGGGCCCTTTATAGCTTACTGTTCGGTGTGAGCCAAGGCTCCGTGTTGAAGACCTATTGTGACCTATAATGGTTTACTTTTATAAATTTTGACTTGGATGGAGAGTTGTCTCATTCAGTCCTAAATCCATGCACAAGAAAGTGAAAATTTCATATCTTCTCTCAATTATAAAATGGTAAAAAAGGGCTATAAATCTGTCATTTCATACTGATAAGGCGACTGATAATATTACTTAACAAACAGATGTTTAAAACACAAAATTGTTAAACTTTAAAAGTTTTAGGAAAATGCACAGGCACATGTGGGGTTGACCCCCCCTCATTTTTTTTTTGCGTTTAATTCTTATTTTGGAAACATTCTTTGATGTTGTTTATCCTGACTTTCAAGATTTATTTGAAAACCTAATTATTTTTAAATATGGTTTTTAAAAATATTCTAATCTTGCAATTTATTGAAAAATCAAATTAATTAAAAAAAAATCAAAATCACATATAATGAAAAAAAAAGATATATTTCTTGATTGGTATTTTGTATTTCATTGTATCCCTTCTTGCAACAATTGTCACCTATAAATTGAGAAAGAAACCATGTGATATCTGTGAACTAACATAATATAATTGATGTGACAGTTTAATTTGAAAATATGGTGTTTTCTAAGTGGTGCAGGAGATAAGTTCACTTTTTATTCAACATCATTTTGATGCAAATTCTTGGGCTTAGTTGTAAAACTGTCATTGGCACTCATACCACATCTTCTTATATCTACGTAAGTACAGATCTGAGAGTAAGTACTAGCAGTTACTGACAGCTAATTAAAAGCCAATAACAACTTATAAAAAAATCATGCATCTTAGACTAAAATATCAATCAGTACACATCCAACATCCAATTTATTTAGTGTAAAGAAGTCATTAACAGTCAGAGAAAGAAATTAAAGAAAACTCTGTGCTGGTTAAGTTGGGGTTTCTGGACAGTGTGTTGTTCATTTTGTCTGTACCTAGGTCTTTTTAAGAAGAGTTGTGGTAAAGGATGAATTCTAACCCATTTGCAATTTGTTTCATCAAAAGCAGATAAGCAGATGATTAAAATTTCTGACCAGTTGAACAGTTTGATTTGATGAAACAAATTGCAATTGGGTCAGAAATTTGAGTTAACTTCAACAGGTGGAGAGAAACAACAAGTTGTTAACAAAAAATCAGCCCACTTGAGTTTTTGAAATCAGTGTTTTATTTGGCAAATTATTTCATGCAGTAATAGGATTTCTTGATCCATTGCATTATTTTAATCCAGGAGCAAATATTAAATAATTCAGATTTAGGTTTTTATTGCAGATAGATAATATGTCATCTATCACTTAAAAATTTATTTGCATTAAAAGAAGTAGATTTTTTCTAGTTACTTAATTATGACTGTTTCTTTTCCAGGCCTGTGCACCAAGATATAAATATCATTCAACAGCATTAGACAAAGTAGAACCAGTAGGAACATGTTACTTAGGTCGGCCAGGGTCAACATCATTTACAGAATATGCACCCTGTAGAAACTGTAAGTACACCCATCTGTCAAATAGATTGCGAATGGCCATATTACATTGGAGATACAATTTGACAGACACATCTCTGTGTTAGGGATAAACTGAACATGTTCGTTTCAGTATGGTTTTCAAAATGTTGTATTGTGCCTCATTAGAAAAACAATTTCTCACCCAGATTGGAGACTTACTCCTCTTCTATGTTACATGGGACGTCTGCAGTGTTATATGTTTTAATGTACATGTATGACATCTAATGTATAGTCTTAAATTGACTTGTAAGCTGTAAACATGCGCAAGTAGTCTGCTGAAGACGAAAAGTTCTTAAATTTGATAAAATAGATAAACGTTCTATTATATGCAATTGTCCCTAAGTGGCCATGTCATATAGTATCAACAGTATCTATTATTCAGTCCTGAAGAAAATGCAATAGCTGTTCAGATTTTTTCCAGTATGCCGGTAGATTTGAGCTGATTTGGTACATTAGTCACATACTGAGTTCATGTTTACTACTTTCTCATGGAGTTATAGCCCTTGGAATTTGTCAGTGTCAGTTACATTTGTGTTGTTCTGACTCATTTAGGTTTTTAGTTTATGAGTGAACAAAGATGAGATTAATATGCTGAAAATCTGAGATGAATTGGATTGATATAGCAATCATACCTTTTAAAGTGTCTGTACATAAGAAACCATTTCAACATTCTTTTACTTTGAGTGGTGTAGATAAACTTTTCATATTCAAACATCAATCTGGAGAAATTTTCCAGCAATGTCAGGTGTATTATTTAGAGAAAACTTGAGAATTGATTCCTATGAATGAACAACTATCATAACAAAATTGACCAATGGCCAAAAACATCAAAGGAGAAAAAAAACATTATTTCAAAAAAACAATTATTTTAGGCAATTATATGTTACTTAAACCAAAGACATTAATTGTTTGCATCGTCGATAAGCAAGAAAATAAAATAAAAATAGTGGTACAAGAATTCTGCAGTTGTGAGACTGTGCATAAAGTGATTCAGATTTGTTTGGTGCTTTTTGGTTTGCTTTTTGCAATAAATATAATTTAACATGAATTTCAACTTTTATGTACCTACAAAGATATTGAGCTAATTTCTGATCAGGTACAAACAGAGATTTATTTGTATAAAAAACAGAATTTTATGAACTCTAAAATGAGTGAGAGGAGGCATGATATCAGGATAAACATCCTCTGATATGTTAGCAGTCATGTGATCAATCCAAAGTCAAACTCAGCAGCAAGTGTCTTAGTAATTAACAGGACAAAACTGGTAATAATTTCTAATGGACAATGGCGGACATTTTGGATCTATCAAGTAGTTGTTGTCATCATTTAACACACTGGATGTTTTCCATAAAACTAACAACAATTTTCAGATAGCTGTCTTGTGTATTATTTTTGTCTCACCTTGATGAGTCGAAAAGTGAGGCTTAGGTGTGCTGTTTCAGATGGTGTTGGTGTCAGCAATGTATTAGTTTGTGATTTAAAGTCAGTTTATGGGGAACCACTATTTGAGGGTCAGTGATAATTGGTATGCAGTTGTATTTGCATTGGCACATCTCATCTCCTTGGAGATTATTTAGCCTGTCCTCCAGCCATGGTTTATTGACTTTGAATGTTTTGCATAGTTTGCATGTTTGAGTTTGTGATAAGATCAGCTTAAGATGAACCACTTATTTTAAGTCAATGATATTTTGTATGCAGTTGTATTAGCTTTTGCAAGTCTCATTTCCATGGAGATTATATGACCCTGCCCCCTCAACATTGTTCATTGACTCTGAATGTTCTGCATAGTTTACATGTTTAAATATTGCAATTTAGTCAGCATTTGCATTATATTATCAAAATTGCAAAAAAGGCGAGACAATTCTCTGTGTCAACAGTTTATGAGTTAGATATAGCTGATTGGTACTTTCAACATTGGTAAAGGAATGATGTGTGCAATTCATTGCAGGTAGGCTATAGAGCATTGTTCCTGCTATTTTAGGATATTTATTTGCTAATAACAGATTCATCTGTCATGGAAAATTATGTATACAAGAAAAATTAAGGAGGATTGGTTAAAAAATGCATGCCATTTATATTCTTTGCAGCACTTTTAACAAATGAAAAGAACATGAAAATGAATAACGTTGTAAAAATATAAGTATTTTACAGTTTACAAATTTAACAAACATATTTGAATAGTATTACAGTGCATTTTAGTGTGACTAAAACTTATTTTATTTTGATTAGTATGACTTTGATTCTATTAATCATAAAATTCAAGTTACTAACAATACAATAGGATTATCTGACTTGACTTGACAGAATACATAAGTCTTAAACTGTGTAAGCAGTACACTTTAGTGTGTTCATCTGTTTCACTGTTTAATTTGTTAAAAAAATATTAAAAAAACAGTAAATAACTGCATCTAATTTATGGTCTGTAAATTTTGTTGAGTGGTGCAAAAGGAGCAATTAAATAAATGGTAATATCAAAAAAAGACTATTAAGTACTCCATGATGCAAGATTTTTGAAGCTGTAATCATAATCTTCAAGCAGAAGTTTTTAAGTACATGTATTATGATTATATTTAGCATATGATGTCAAGTACTCGTAATATTATATAATTATGATGAATCAAAATTATCCTTACATGTACTCTTGATAACTGCAAGTAAAATGTATGAAGATTAGGATTGGATACATTTAACTTTTATTGCTCTATATAATTTTTCTAAAATGTTTGAAAGACCTAAAGGTTATATTAGTAGATGGAGAGAGCATGATAGACATAAATTACGCATAGAACGTTATGGCCTTTTCGATAAGTGGGTTTCATTTGCATTTTTTCTGCACACTTTTAAAATGATTTATGTGGTAAATTTTTATTCTATATTCATCTTTATCTTACCTCCTATACATTTCTAGGACTATGATTGGTTAAAAGTAACCGTGTGGAGACCGTGTATATTTCATATGGGGTTAGTAGGCGTGGTTTATTTCAATACACGGTTAGTAGTGGTGTTATGTCCCTTTGTTAAAACAACACGGTGTTGAGGAAAAATTTGAAAGGTTTTAACAGAGGAAGAAATTGATGATGAACCATTGAAATAAATTCATAAAACACATTTAAAGCTTTACAAGTTGTTATTGTTGGCATTTGTTTTTGAATAGACCAATGGAAGTAGGTTCTTAATACTAAGTATTGAAGACTTGATCACTTTGATAGGCCACTAGTCTAAATACCACATGTTAAGATAGTCGGTAAGATAAATTCGTTACACAGTGTGCTAGTGACCGAATACGATATATATGGGGTCCGTAAATTCCATATGGGGAATCGAGCTTCACTCTCACCCCATATGGAATATACTGAGATTACTGACCCCATATATATCTTATTAGGTCACTAGCACACTATGTAACTAATAATATTCTACCTGGATAAAAGAGTGTTATCCAAAATAATATTATGCTGTCTAATCTAGGACAAAAATTGAGATTGAATTTCTGCTGGTCCAAGAAGTTTTATTCAGGGAAATTTCTACTTTATATAGCTCAGGGAAATTTCTACTTTATATAGCTTTGATGATAATGTATAATCACAAAATGCCTCATAAATCCTGCTTTATGTTAACTTCTAGAAAGTGTACTAGCTACTACTTCTGACAAGAACACAATTAAAAATTGCAATACAGTCTATCAAAACATGGGCATCAGTCATTTTTTTGGTATGCAAGTAAAGTCTTATGTAGTTAACTCTGTTGATTTTTCTTCTGTATTCTCTACTCTTCTAAATAATTTGGACCAAAAGTTTGTATGGGCTTTATCTTACATTTCAGGGCCTTTTAAGAGTTGTCTCATTGGCAATTATACCACATCTTCTTATTTTTATATTTCAATAAATCAGCATTTGAATTCCTCTGTTGTACTTTAACTTGTATAATTTGTATTTCGTTAAAAATAAAAAAAAAAATTCTTACTGGACATACAGTGACAGGAATAAGCCTTTTCTTGTTTGACAATCTTTTTGTTCTTTATGGCAAGAATATATCATCAAATTATGAAACCTGTTAGAAGTGTTGTGTTTGATTTTTGTTGTTTTCAACCAACAGCTGTGTCTACCTTATAGTAATTATTCCTGCAATAAAGAGCACATTTAGGCTACCTTATAGTAATTATCCCTGCAGTGAAGAACACATTTTGACCATAGAGGCTACCTTATAGTAATGAGTCCCCTACAGACGAAGTCGAAGGGGACTTTAGGTTTGCACTCTGTCCGTCTGTCCATCCGTCAGGCCAGCAAATCAGTTTTCCGCACTTTTTTTCATCATGCTTGAAGATTTTGATTTGATAATTGGCTTATAGTTTTATCATGACAAGTTACAGACCAAGTTCAAATTTTGTTCCGGTCTGATGATTTTGTGCAGAGTTATGGTGTTTGGACTTAGAAAATTCACTCAAATAATCAGTTTTCCTCTATTTTTTTCGTCATGCTTGAAGATATGCATTTGATAATTGGTATATAGTTTTATCATGACAAGTTACAGATCAAGTTTGATTTTCCGTTCTGATGATTTTGTGCAGAGTTATGGTCCTTGGACTTAGAAAATTCACTCAAGTAATCAGTTTTCCACACTATTTTTTGTTATACTTGAACATGAGGAAGATATTGATTTGATATTTGTTATAAAGTTTACACCATGACAAGTTATAGATCAAGTTAGCATTGTGTTCAAGTTCAATAGATTTTTAACCTGTAGGGGACTATGTATTGCCATGCAATACTCTTAGAATGCTTGTTATTCCTGCAGTAAAGAACACATTTTGACCATAGAAGGCTACCTTCTAGCAATTATTCCTGCAGTAAAGAGCACATTTTGACCATAGAGGCTACCTTATAGTAATTATTCCTGCAGTAAAGAACACATTTTGACCATAGAAGCTACCTTATAGTAATTATTCCTACAGTAAAGAACACATTTTGACCATAGAGGCTACC